AGAGAGAGAGAGAGAGAGAGAGAGAGAGAGAGAGAGAGAGAGAGAGAGAGAGAGAGAGAGAGATGAGCGATACAAGTTTGGTTGTCACTTACCTGTGAAGTTGCTGCGCAGTCCAGTCCACGAAGAAGAAAGACAGCGGCCATAGCCGCGGGGCCTGTACCACGGAGTGACGAAGTAGGAGGAAGAAGGACAGAGGGGGGAGAGACCGAGAAGAGAGAGGAAGCGGCCATAGCTAAGACGCGAAGCAGAGGCCGATAAAAAAAAAAAAAAAAAAAAAAGAGAAAGAAGAAGACAACGGGAGGAAGGAGGCGAGGGAGGTAAGGAAGAAGAAGGGGATTGGCGAGGAAGAAGTGCCGGCAGCCATAGCTGACCAGGGAGTTGACCGAGAGGGTTGACCGGAAGCGTTGACCGGAGTTGACCAAGGGTCATAGCAGCGTTGACCGGCATTGATCAAGGCTGTTGACCAAGGCGTTGACCAAGACTTTGACCAAGCTGGAGTTGGTAACATCTCGCCAAGCCCTTAGCCTACCCCTTGCCCTATGGATGTGCACATACCCCTTGGTACTTGCTGAGTACAGTCTGTCTGTCTATTCTTTCTGCATTGAGTCCCTTCCGTCCTAAGTTATAGTACTTTGTGGATGAAGGATAGGGCTTGGATGACAAAACCCTAGTCTGACCTTGTAGGGCTAAGGCTGTGGCTGATCCAACTTTTCAGGGGGGCATAACCCTCCCAAGGACCGGTACAGACTGGCGGGCTGCTCAGTGTGGCACAGTAGGCCGGAAAGGCTGAGTTGTGGGCGGAAAGCACAAGCAGAACCAAGCTGATCACGTCGTCCTGTCTGCGACGTTAAAGAATTCTTGAGGAGTTACGGGGGATCTCCTTAAATGCCTCCTGATCAGCCACTGGTTCAGTAGTGACATCCATAGCATAGGTCTAGGCTAGAGACCATAGTTGACAGGATCCCTGTCAGGATTCTGTTAGTCTTAGATTGAGTCAGTAGGTCTGTCAGTCAGGGGTTGACGTCTACGTGGTGAGGTTTGGAACCTCTAACCTGGTTGTACACCTATCACCATGGTTGAGACCCTCACTGGGAAGGAGACTAATCCCTACACCCTTGAGCAGCAAGCGAGATGGCCGCCATAGTGAAAGAGAATAGGGCGAGGAAAGAGCGTGAGAAGCAGGTGAAGCTAAAAGCTATCGCAGACAAGCGGGCGGCGAAGATGAAGGAAGTAGAGGAGGAGATGAAGAAGAAGGAGCAGGCTGCTGAAGAAGAAGCGGCAGCAGAAGAGGAAAAAGAAAGGATGAGGATTGAAAGCAGAGAAGGGAGCAGTGGCACGAAGAAGGACACGGACGTTGAGATTGAGAAGAAGATCAGCGAGTGGGTTACTAACTTATCGTTGGGGGAAGATGAAGAGGCGGAGTCATATGTGACTGAGGATGAGAAGGCCGCACTGGCCGCTGAGCTTGCAGCCATGACGGACCCGATGGAACGAAGAGAGAGGGAACATGAGCAGAAGTTACAGTGGAAGCTGAGGATGAAGCGGGAAAAGAGTAGGAGAAGAGAAGAGGTGAACAAGATGACCGTAGCAGTGGCAAAGGTGCAGGAGTGTAGAGCGGAGGTATTGGCCCAGCCAGATGATAAGGCCAAGTGGGACAAGGTACTGGGGTACCTAGAGGTATTAAGCAAGGCCTGGATGGAGGAGCGTCAGGCAAGTTGGAAACAGGATGTAGCTTTGAGCGCTATGCGGTCCGGGTTTAGGGAGTTTGCGCGCGAAATCGTCACCCACATTGGGTGCGAAGTGAAACAGTTGAGGGACAACGTAGGCAAGTACTGCGAAGGCGCCATTGAAGGTGCCAAAGCCATAGCTGCTGCAGAGGGCGAGGGTAGACCCCGTAAGGAGCCTGTAAAGCTCAAGTTCCCAGACGCGTACGGGGGAAAGGAGGAGAACTTTGACAACTGGGAGACCAGTGTCAACAATTATATTTACTTGCAGTATATCCTAACAGAGGAGCAAGTCCTCGTGGCCTTTCAGGCCCTCAAAGATGATGCGGCTAGTTTCGCCAGGTCTCTTGCGCGTACAGCCGGTTGTGAAAACAACCTGGTTGCATATTCCAAAGTCACCCCTCTTTCCCAATTCCTCAAGCTCCTCAAGGTGCGTTTCGCTGACCCAACGCGAGGCATAAGAGCCTCTAACAAACTCCAAACGATCCACTCACGACAGTGGAGGAGTGCCAAGGCACTCAAGGGTACCATGGACGACTTGGTAGCCGTCCCGGACCATGGGGTCAATGAGCACCAGTTGGTCCAGTTGTTTTATCATGCCATTTCAGAGGCCCTAAGCGGGCATTTCTTTGACAAATCTCAGCAGGCCGGCATGACTTACGATGCATTGAGTAGAGAAGTCGTCCTGTATGAGTCGAAGTCTATGCCCGTTACCACTTTCTGGCATAACGACCTGGAGAAGGGGAAGAAGTGGAARGATCGTACCATCTCGGGCCAAGTCAAGGCCAAGGATCACTTGATCCTGACATTAGAGGAGGGTGGTACAGAAGAGGTCCCATATGATCAGATTGAGTGGGGCCTAGGGGAGGAGTACAGTAGTGTAGGGCAGGGGAGGTCTTACGCTGCTGTCGCGGCCGGAGGGAGGCCGCAAGGTAGAGGAGGAGCCAGGGCCAAAAGGGCCAGGCCATGGGAGGCCGAGGACCGGGTGCACAGGGGGTTGGCGGATAGGGAAACCGCCAAGCGGGAGGTAGGGGTCAAGGTCCCCCGTTAAATCGCCAGGGTAATCGGTCCCCACAGCGAGGAGGTGGAAGGGCACCTCAAGGAGGATGGCACCCAGGCTTGCCGTAGGGCAGACCCTGGGAAGACTTGGGCTTGGACCAGCGATTATGGCAGGAACGCGTGAACCTGGGTCGGTGCGTATTCTGTGGTGATTCGGCGCACGTAATTAAATTTTGTCCAAAGTATAGACAGGCCCGTTGGGCTGCCCAGCAGTCAAAAGGCAGCCGCCAGTAGGGGTTGCAACTGCCCCTACTTCCAGGCCATGTGGAGAAGTGAGCGTGCGCGAACAGGACACTCCCAACCCACATGAGCCTATGGCAGAGGTTGCAGGCCCGTACCTAGGTAGCTGTCCAGAGACTGCTTGTGTTAGCGTATCTTTAGGCACGTCCCTCACAGGTGTGGTAGAAGAGTTAAAGGAGAAAATGCCAGCCTAGGCCAAAATGAAAAGAGAGAGTAAGGGACAACTGATTTTGGTAGATGTAGAGGTTTTTAGAAGTAGAGTAGGGGCTCTTATAGACTCAGGGGCTACCCGTAGTTACATTAGCCGTAGGGCGCTGAAGAAGCCGAGGCTAGGACTAAAAGTCCAGAAGTTAGTAGACCCCATAGTCAGTGTCCTCGCAGACAACCGCACGATGCGAGTTGAGGACTACGTAGAGGGAGTCCAGACGTACTTTCGCCTAGAGAAGAATGAAAAAGTGGAGAAGGTCCTCCATTCTTTGACTCTCCTCGTGCAGGATGACCTTCTTTTCGATATAGAGTTAGGAATGGATTGGGGAGAGGCAGCAGGGGCCACACTTCATTTGAGAGAGCATGAGTGTAGGCTCCCTAGTCCGTCAGGCGAGGTTAAGACTGCCCGCTTGTTTCATGCGTTTGGTGTAGATAACACCTTGGCACATTGTTGTCTCAGTGCTCCCGCGTTCGCGCGATTATTAAAGAAGGAGCAGTTAGAAGACCAGGTCTTTGTAGTTTATGTTAGACCTGTCACTGAGGCCCAGGAAAACGATAGTTCCACAGATCCAACAATTGCCAAGCTTCTGAAAGAATTCAAAGACTTGACTGAGTCGCCGACAGGAGTAGTGTCGCGACCCATCCAGCGCAGGATAAAGATAGAGTCTAGCAGTAGAACTCCTAAGGGTGCAGTCTACAGGATGTCCTCTAAAGAGTTAGAGGAGCTCCGCAAACAGTTAGACGAACTCCTTGAGAAAGGTTGGATCAGGCCCAGTTCGTCTCCTTTTGGAGCACCAGTTTTGTTTGTCCCCAAGAAGGAAGGAGAGTTTCGTATGTGTATAGACTATAAGGGTCTGAATGCGATCACAGTGAAGAATGCTGAGCCGCTGCCCAGGATAAACGATCTTTTAGATCGGGTGCAGGGTTATAAGTATTTCTCTAAAATAGACTTAAAGTCCGGATACCATCAGATAGAAGTCCATCCCGATGATCAGTACAAGACTGCATTCCGGACTAGATATAGGCATTATGAGTTTATAGTGATGCCCTTTGGACTGACCAACGCGCCAACTACTTTTCAGCGTTGTATGAATGACCTGTTTAGACCGTGGTTAGATAAATTTGTGGTAGTCTACTTAGATGATATCCTAGTCTTTAGTAAGACCCTCCAGGAGCACCAGGGTCATCTGAGGCAGGTCTTGGAGAAGCTTAGAGAGGCTAACTTCAAGATCAATGTGAAGAAGTGCCAGTGGGCCAAAACGCAAGTCTTGTACTTGGGCCACGTGTTGGACGGAGATGGCATTAAGCCAGAGGACAGCAAGATAGCGGCGATTAGAGATTGGCCGACGCCCCACACGTTGACAGAGTTGCGGTCGTTCCTAGGCTAAGCTAACTACTACAGGAAGTTCGTGAGGAACTTCTCCACTATCGCCGCTCCCTTGAGCAGGTTGTTGAAGAAAGAGACAATCTGGCAATGGGATAAAGACTGTACGTCTGCGCTCAAAAAGTTAAAGTGCGCGTTAATAGAGTATCATGTCCTCAAGGTTGCAGATCCATCCTTGCCATTTGTCGTCACCATGGACGCGAGTCAGTATGGGATAGGCGCCGTGTTGCAACAAGATGACGGCAATGACTATAGACCCGTAGAGTTCATGTCTGCGAGGATGCCTTGTGAGAAAGTCGCTATCTCCACGTACGAAAGAAAACTCTACGCCCTCAGGCAGGCTTTAGACCATTGGAAGCACTACCTGCTTGGGAGACACTTCAAAGTCTATTCGGACCATGAAACRCTTAGATGGTTGAAGACCCAGGCCAAGATGACACCTAAGTTGACYAGGTGGGCCGCAGAGATAGACCAATTCGACTTTGAGCTCAAGCCAGTGAAGGGCAAGTAAAATGTAGTGGCGGATGCTCTAAGTAGGAGATCAGACTACTTTGGAGCCGTAATACATTATTTGGATATAGGGAGAGACCTGCAGGAGAAAGTGAAACAAGCGTATACGCAGGACCCTATCTATAGCGAACTCCTAAAGAGAGTTAGAGAGACCCCAGAGACCGAACCAGATTACCGCACTATAGACGGGTTGCTGTTTGAGAAGACTAATGTGTTTGACCGCCTGTGCGTTCCCAACAGCGAAGAGATTCGTAGTCTGATTCTAGGGGAATGTCACGATACTGAGGGACACTTCGGTTGGCAAAAGACGTTAGCCAATCTGATGCGTGCGTACACATGACCAGGGATGAAGAACGACTGCATAGAGTATGTCCGCAGTTGTAAAGTATGCCAGCGAAACAAATCTACTACACGCGCGCCCCTAGGTCTTCTCGGACCCTTGCCTATTCTGGATCAGCCGAGAGACTCAGTGTCCATAGACTTCATGGACACGCAAGTCAAGAGCAGACATGCTAAGAGTCAAGTCATGGTCATAGTCGACCGTTTTAGTAAGTATGCAGTTTTTGTTCCTTTGCCTGCAAAGGCAAGTACAAATTTAGTAATACAGAAGTTCTTTGACTTTTGGGTTAGTGAGAATGAAATCCCATTATCAATAGTTAGTGATAGAGATAGTCGTTTCACCAGCTAGAACTGGCAAGAACTCATGAGAGTCTACGGATCTAAGTTGTTAATGTCGTCCGACCGTCACCCAGAGACTAACGGTCAGATAGAACAGATGAACAAGATCCTACAGCAAGTTCTGCGCATGTATATTAGACCAGATCGGATCAACTGCGATGAGATGTTGCCCAAGGTCGCTAGTGCATACAACAACAGCGTGCATCTATCCACCTGCCGCATTCCCAATGAGTTGCAAAAGTCCTTTAGATCGCGCAGACCGTTCGAAGGACTGAACCAGGATCAGATTCATAGATTACCGCCCGACACCAGGGAGTTTGCGATACAGCACGAGAAAGAACTAGCAACTGTTGTTGAAAACCTCAGGAAGGCCCAGCATAAGATGATAGAACAAGCTAATAAGCATCGTCGCCCATCGCAGTTTCAGGTAGGCGACTTAGTCTGGGTCAAGGCTAAAGAGTTTGCGCATGAGGAAAACATATCGCAGAAGTTACTGCCTGCATATAGAGGACTGTGGCCGGTTCTAGAAGTCAAGGGCGGAGAGGATGGGCCGTCCTATAGCATAGAGATCCCAACACACCTCCACACATACCCTGTGTTTCACGCTTCAAAGTTGTTGCCGTGTGTCGCAAGTCAACAGTTCCCTTCGAGAAAATCCATAATCCCCCCGGATATGGATGGAAGTTATGACATTGAAGGCATTGTAGATGAGGATGTGTTCAGAACAGGAGGTAGAGGTTGTCCCCAAAAACAATATAAGGTCCATTTTGCTTATCAGGAACCGGAAGACGACCGCTGGTTCACAAAAACAGAACTTCTGGAAACCGCTCCCGACATAGTCAAAGCCTATGAACGGACAAGAAAGGTAAAGGTCCCGCCTTGGACTGAAATGTTCTCGGAGGACCTCGAATTTAGGACAGCGGGAGTGAAACGGTTTTCACCTTTTAGCAGTAGCGGATGCAGTACCCAGGGTTCGTTTCCTAGACCTCACCCTACCTATGTATAATATCTGTATAGATCCCGAGAATTGAACCTGTGACATGTGTATTCGCAGATAGTTGGTAGGTATGTCGTAGGTCCATAGGCAGTAGGGGTTCGATCTGTAGGTCTATAGCGTAGAAGTCTTAGTGAGTTATGTTAGTTGTAGACCTTCTAGAAGATAGGCAAGTGGGCAAGTGGTCAAGTGGTGAGGCAAGTGGTGGACTAAGCCGCAATGCAACAGCAGTACAACGTCGGTAGGATAGCGGTGAGTCCACAGTCAGTCAGCGGAAGGTCCAGTCAGTCCCAGTCCGGTCCAGCAAGTACCACAGGGGGACTGTGAGCACCAAGGGCCGATGGCAAAGGGCAGACCAACGAGTTAAACTTTCTGGAGTATAAATCAAGAGGCAGCGCCCAGCCATTGATTGATTCCTGCGGGAGCCATGCGGAAGCGCTGCCACAGCGCCTTGTGCAAGAAGGTCTGCAGATGATCCCGGAGGTCGCAGTGGGCAGAGAGGAGGAGTTAGTTAGCGATAGGTTAGAGGCAGCCATAGCTGCCATAGCAGTAGTTAGTAGAGAGAGTGTGTGTGTGTGTCGAGTATTCCGAGTGATGCGTGTGGGATATCCAGAGTGATCCAGTGTATGTGAACAGTGAGATGTTTGAGCGTTGAAGTCGCCATAGCCAATTGAGAGTGAACTCGTATCTGAAAGTCATATCTCTGAGTTTTGAGTGGGCGCATGTCGCCAGTATGCTGCGTTGCTGTTTAGATGCATGAAAAGTGTGTTTGAGGACGAGTCTGATTGCAATCCGAGGAGGCAAACGATTAAAAACAACCAATCCAAATTCCAAAATATATCGGACTACAAAATGAAATCTCGATAGCTAAAAGTTGGGAAGAGGAAATAGTCATTGGGGTTGCCCTCTCAACCTTACTATCCAAAACGCTGTAAAGAGCCTTTGTTGCCTAGGCGGGTTTCCCACCACGCACCCAATGGATACAACTCTAGTTTGCTCTTCACCGG